GTCCGCAGAGGGGGGGGGGGGGGGTGAGGATCAAATGGAGGATGGTGCCTTGGGCCCCCACTGGAGAGGAAGGTGGGGGGATAAAGAAAGGAAATAAGTCAATGGTGTGTTACCTCCTGCCCAGGGCTATTTTTGGGCAGGAACGCAAAGGGACGGAGTTCCGGCTGGCTCCCGAGTTGGCCATACCCAGCAGGAACTCGTTAGCATAATAGGCCACACCCAACAGCAGAAATTCACTAGGATTGGCTACATTAGGGGTGTGTGGCCTAACATGCAAAGGGTTTCTGCAATGTTCCCTCTAAGCTGAGTTAGTGTGAGCTAGCTCACAATTTTTTAGCCTCCGGCTCACACATTTTTGTCTTAGCTCAGGAAGGATGGCTCCAGAGCAAACTAGTTTATGCAGTAGCCAAATTGCTTGCTCACAACTTTAATGCCAGGAGCTCACAAAGTAGAATTTTTGCTCACAAGACTCCACAGCATAGAGGGAACATTGGTTCCTGCTACAAAAAAAGCCCTGGGTTTTGACAACAAACAAGGTAAACAGAATAAGAAGCAAAAGTTGGGTCTGGCTGCATGACCACATTTCTGGTAATGTGGGGGTGTGGCCTAATATGCCAATGAGCTGCTCTGTCAGGGGTGTGGCCTAATATGCTAATGAGTTCCTGCTGGGCTTTTTCTACAAAAAAAAGCCCTGCTCCTGCCAATAATTTCAGAGGGAAACTAGGTTGATCTGCAGCAATAAAGCTCAATTCGAGTCTAGTGCTGCCTTAGAGAACAGCAAGCTTTTCAGAGTATAAGCGTTCGAGGTAGGGTTGCCAAGTCTGGGTTGGAAAATACCTGGAGACTTTGGGGGTGGAGTCGGGAGAGGGCGGGGCTTGGGGAGGAGAGGGGCCATAGAATGCCAAAGGGAGTCCACCCTCCAAAGCAGCCATTTTCTCCAGGGGAGCTGATCTCTCTCAGCTGGAGATCAGTGGTAAAAGCGGGAGATCCTCAGGCCCCACCAGGGGGCTGGCAACCCTATTCGGAGAAGGGGGGTCAAAGTTCTCTTCATCGGATACGAGTTCTTGAACGCTTATAGCAATGCTCCCTCTAAGCTGTAGAGTCTTGTGAGCAAAGATTCTACTTTGTGAGCTCCTGGCATGAAAGTTGTGAGCGACAGATTTGGCTGCTGTGTAAATTAGTTTGCTCCAGAGCCCTCCTTCCTGAGCGAAGACAAAAATGTGTGAACCAGAGGCTAAAAAACTGAGCTAGCTCACACTAACCCAGCTTAGAGAGGAACACTGGCTTATACCCTGAGAATCTTGTTGGTTTCTAAGCTGCTACCAAAGTCCAATCGAGATATCTCATACTGAGCAGATGGTGTCTGAAAAGACGGAAACAATTCAGATTCTTAAAAACAGGGGGGGGCTTTCAGAAGCTTTGAAGGTAGGGGTTTCCTTAAGAACACATAGTCCCATAGCTAGGATTTTATTTTTTGGGGGGGTTGGGGTAGTGGTCCACAGTGGTCCTTCTTGCTGCGGTCTGAAAAGGTTATTTCCAGGGCTTTCCAGGATCAGAATTTGTGGGGCTGTGCCTTTAAGAAAGGGGGCAGAGCCTCCCCCCAAAGCCCCACCATAGCTACGGGCCCAAGGACACACGGAAACTCCCGCACACACACACATCTATCCATGAATAAGTTCATCGTTTATTGCATACGGCCATTGGCGGTCACAAAGTTACAACTTTAAATGAAACTGGATCCCTAATGTCTTAAAATACACACTTAGTTATTAAATTCAGTTAAAATTAACTTCATTTTTACAGTGTCTAAAATGTCTAAGATACCTCAAATTAAAATGATATACAGCGTTTACAAATTCTGGTTCCAATTGTAGCAATGTTAATGCTTGGCATCTCAGTTTGGTGTAGTGGTTAAGTGCGCGGACTCTAATCTGGGAGAACCGGGTTTGATTCCCCACTCCTCCACTGCACCTGGCTGGATGACCTTGGGCAAGCTGTAGTTCTGATAAGAGCTGTTCTTGCAAAAGAGCAGTTTCTGTCAGAGCTCTCTCAGCCCCACCTACCTCACAGGGTGTCTGTTGTGGGGAGGGGAAGGGAAAGGAGTTGGTAAGCCGCTCTGAGACTCCTTTGGGTAGTGAAGGGCGGGGTATAAATCCAATCTCCTCCTCCTCTCTCTCTCTCTCCTCTCTCTCAGTAGGCTGCATTCCTAAACACCAATCTCTTCAAGCTTCTACTGAAATCCCACTGGTGTTTTGCGGGTGCAGTAACCTGATGAAGGCCTCTAGGCTGGAGTCTATGCTTTGCAAGAAAAAAGCCCATATTCAATTGCTGGTCTTTTCAGTAAAAAATGTTTCCATGTGCGTAGTGTAGCCAGGAGATCCTACGATTCACTGGAAGCCAGAAGTTCTAGCTCTTTGGAGTTATCCAGGGTGCACCACAAGGAGGAAAGCTTGAATTGCACCCCATAATTAAAACGTCACAGGAATGTGAACATCGTGCTTTCCTGGGAGATGTGATGGAGCTCATCAAACACCCTCCAGCTGTGTCTGAGTGGACTGAAAATTTAGATATGAGTATTTAGGGGGGATTGTCCAGTTGTTCTGCATACTCTTCTATCAACTTGGTTCTGTATTTTATATTACTATATGCTTCCTGTGGGTAACTCTGCCATAAGATAGATGATGATGATGTAGACAGACAGACAGACAGATAGATAGATAGAATCATAGAATCTTATAATCATAGAATGTGAGAGTTTGAAAGGATCTTGCAGGTCCATCTAGTCCAACCTCCTGCACTCTGCAGGTGCATAGCTGAAAGATAGCCCTACAACATACCCGAAAAATGGCCGTCCAGCCTCTGCTTGAAAGCGTCCAGCAAAGGAGCATCCGCCACCTCCTGAGGCAGTCTGTTCTACTGCTCAGCCACTCTGACAGTTGGGAAGTTTCTCCTGCTATTTAGCCGGTAACGACTCCCTTGTAATTTCCACCCATCAGATCTAGTCTTGCAATCCGGAGCAAGAGAGAATAGATCCGCTCCATCTTCTACATGACGGACCTTCAGATATCTGAAGACTGCAATCATATCCCCTCTAAGCCTTCTATTTCCCAGGCTAAACAGACCCAACTCTTTCAGCCTTTCCTCATAAGAGGTGGACTCCAACCCTCTCAACACAAGAGGTTGCCCTCTTCTGGACACGATAGATGATGATGATGATGATGATGATGATGATGATGATGATGATGATGATGATGATGATGATGATGATGATGATGATGATGATGATGGTGGT